TCAGGGTTTTATGGTTTAGGGCTTTCTTTTGGGTTTATTACGGTTGGGGGCTATCATACCATTAGGTATGCAGACCGACCCCCGTATCTATATGGAAACCTCCCTTTGGGTTTTTTGACGCTTTTGAGCACTGTACTTGGGCCTTAAGGAATAGCACATGAAGGTTCTTGGGACTTCGCGGGATTCAGTGGCTACTCATGATGGTGACTCGGGTTGCTGTAAGGGTTTAGGGTTTAGGTTTTAGGTTGGGCGTAGTGCTTAGAGTTAAAGCTAGCCTTCATGTCTTAGCATTCCGCACATGGTATTTCTAGACAGTGAGCACAACCTTCAGTAAGATGATACCCTAAACACTGAACGGTAAATCTTTGAACCCTAAACCGTTGTCAAAAAATTGGGCACCCATCTTTGGAAGTCTGTACTGGGGGACCCTATGGAAACTTCCAAATGTCTTCCCTCTTATACGCCTGCTCTTCCAAAAACGACAGACCTAGTAGAGTGCCAGGGCGCAGCACATTTCACTTCTCCAAACAAAGGTCCCGTTCCAACTAGGTAGGGGCACCACGGCAAACTACTGTTGCACAGAACAGTAACTGGCCTCAATTTCAGCGTTTTGATGCGCATCTGCTTCAAGCCCCCAACCAATACTTGTGGCCATAGGGGATTCATGTCCCCACGTACCATGGTAGCACCCCAATACCGTGAATCCTACTATTGTACTGTTCCCGGATGGGCGGTCTAATCAAATTGCGTTTTATCTCTGCTGTACCTCTTACAGATCTGGGGGCTCAGCGTCATTTCAGTCCCTCACATAGGGTTTAAAGGGATTATTTAGGGGTTTGATAGGTGTTGTATAGGGATTACATTAGAACTAGCCTGAAGCGGATTACATAGGGGTTACATGGTGTTTAGGTCTATGACATCAATACTAGAGAGTTGCAACGCAAAATGACCCGAAACGTAACTAGATTTCTAGATAGAATAGATACCTACGTCGCTTTTACAAGTCTTCTTGAGGCCGGAATTATGCAATGAATCTGGAACGAGCACACTTAAGCCCCCTAATTAGGGTTCAATCCTGGGTCGCGTCGCCACGGTTTTTGTCAATGACTTCGGCTGGAACAAGGAGACATGAAGTAGGGTCTTGGAGCATTTCTAAGTGGTTGTCCATTTGGGGAGGCCATGCTGAAGAAGTCTTGTTCAAGCGAAGTTTGGTTCATGAAAATGCTTCCTGCTCTGGCTTCGCGCTCATTTTAGACAGCATGTCTTTTTCCATGCAATGGTGCAGATGGGGGCACTCGTCTTTCTTTTGTTTATGAGATTTCTCTAAAAAAGGGTGTTCACCGTGGTTCCATGCTTATTTTCTAATCTGCATGACGTTTCGGCGCTTTCGCTTCATTTCAAGCTTTGGACAGACAAAACGAGGTTGTCCCTGTGTCTTCGTGCTCATGTGTCTTCAGTCTTGTAGCGGGGCGTCGTGCTTATTCTGCATGTCTCGAAGGTCCAGACGGCTCGGATTCTTTACATAGAAACCGATGGGGTCGTTGCCCCGCATAGGGGCTTTCATGCAATCCGGAAGGGAGACTTATCAGAGGCGAATGCCAAGATAATCTCGGAAGCTCAAAGCCTAAGACCTAAACCCTAAACCGGTCCTATAACATCAACTCTATTTTGCCCTCCCCCCAACTACATATTCCCCTGCAACACCTGAAGCTATAACACGACCACTATTCTGCCTCCCTCCGTAACCAAATGATCCCCTGTAGCACCCAAAGCTATAACATGCCTCTATGATGTTCTCCCCCCCATAACCCCAGAATTCCCTGCTACGTAGGAAACTTAAGAGCGGAAGCTAAACATCCCTCCAAAAGCACGGGTCACTATCGAGCGCATGAGCATGAACAAGGCATCCTATACGACACCCGAAAGCATCAGGTTGGGGCATTGTCCTAAACCCTAAACCC